CCCCAAAACCCCAAAACCCCAAAACCCCACGGCAAATTCTAGAAGTTGAAAATACATCAATATCAAAATTAATACTTACAAAATAAACCTAAAGAGCAAAATAAGTCAATAAAATTATCCTAAAACTAGCTAATCCTAAAATTCCACCCATTCTCTAAAACCTAGACCCCAAAACTAATTCCTCAAATCCTTCAACCAACTTAGAGTTATTCCGTCAGAGGTTCGTTGCATTCCTCACCCACACTGATGTGGGAGAGGTCATGAGCAGCCAAAAGCTCATTTACTTTAGATACTGAGATCTTACAGCATTCAACATTAATGGTGTTGAGGGAGTTCTTGAGAGACGAATTCTTAATGGCCACTATAATCTTCTCAAATCTGGATGGGTACTTGTCCCATTCTTGGTTGCACCAGGCGGAACCTCCACAATTGTAAAAACTAAGATACTGGAGCTTGGTCTGAGCGGGAGTGGAGAAGTCCAAAGAGTCCGAAGTTGAAATTTGACTACAACGAATAGTCAACCTTTCAGAGTTCACACAAGCCTTCACAATCTGGCTCAGATCGCTTGCATCAACGATCAAATGTTCCAAATAAACCTCTTTGGTCACATTGGTCAGCAGCTTTTGCATGCCTTCCTCGTAAAACTTTACTTTCACAACAGCGATTCCGTCTGGTTCAAGATAGCTGTGGTTAAACGAAAGCAGTCTGAGGGAGGAGGGGCTGCAGTTCTTGAGGAAGTTATTCAGAGTATGGTCTTCATTGGAGATCTTATCAATCTGGAGTCTGTTCATATCTCCCAAAGAGTATTTCGATGCCCCAATTGATTTGACTAAGTCCTTGGATTTGTCTTCGGACATGTTAAGTTCTAATTCTTTAGATTCAGGGTTGAAGTCTGGGCAGATATTTTTGTAGAGGCCTTTGATAATTTCCTTCGTTTCTTCAAGTGCAGATTCTCTTTCTTTCAGTTCTATTGGTTAGACATTGGTCAAGGCTTACCCTCGAAAACCTTAGCCATTTCTTCTTGGTCTTTAGCATGTTGGCTCTTGGATTCCTCGATCTGGTCGACTTTAGCCTTAAGATCCTCTTCAAGCTGAGCCTTGAAGTCTTTGAGATCTTTGTTCTCATTTTGAAGGGATTCTCTTTCAGCAGAAATTTCGTCTCTTTGCTTCTTGGTATCTTCGGTATCTTGACGTGCTTGCTCTGTGGCTTCTTTCTGTTCCTCAAGCTCCGTATCCTTGGCATCATTCAGATCTTTCAAGTTCTGGATCTCGTCTTTGAACTCTTCGGTGAGACTGGCCTTGCACTGTTCCTCAAATTGCCTTGATTTGGAATGGAACTTCTTCTCCATCAGATCCACATTTTCTTTGACAACAGCGTCGATCTTCTCTTTGACCTTAGTGGCAGATGATAAGACTGAACTTGACAAAGAAGTGCTTACCTTTACCAATTTTTGGCAGGCTGTACAGGCTAACATCTCTTAACGCTGAAAAGTAAAAAATATCTTTGACGACGTTGCTGTCAGACATCTGGATTTGGATCCTAAAGAGGTCAGCAAGTTTAGGTGAAAGCACTAAAAGATACGAGGGTGCCAATTTATCAAGCGGAGGAGGAGCTTACTGTTTGATCTGAGACTGAAGAGTGTCAAATTGCTCGTAATGGTTGTGAGTAATTGCATCTCTTATTTTCTTCTCGGTCTCGACGAGACTGTCCTGAAACTCTTTGAGTTCACCATCAATGTTAGGGCTGTATGCTCTCAGGCCGTTCTCAGCTATGAGCTCGAACAGTCTCTTCACAAATCTCTTGGCCTCAATCACATCGACGTTGAGGTCAGTCAGATCGTGGATGATATTCAGCTGGCATTTGAAGTGCATCTTGCTGGCACAGCTTCTGCATGCCTTCATCTGGTGGCTTTTGCAGAAGTACACTCTGTCTTTCTTGCATGCAGGGTCACTGCACTGAAACCTATCACAAATTAACACACTTGGATAAAAATGGGAGAAATTAGGATTGGGAGGACCTACTTTTTGCGGGTAGCATTTACGACTTCCATATTGAGAAATAAAATCCAATAATTAAGACAGGTAGGTTCAACTGAGATTTATACATGTGGGGTTTTGGGGTTTTGGGGTTTTGGGG